CACCCCCCCCCAAAACTCCCCACCTCAAAATAACCTCCAGGACTGTAAATGAGAGAATGATGCAAGAATTCTGAATATAAGAACTTTTGTAGTGTTAATAACTCTAGAATTTGCAGTGTATTTAATTCTGTGTTGGCATGCTAGGAATAGCTAACTGTAAATTTTCTTCAGGGAAATGGCCATGAGAGGGACTTTATGGATGATCCTCGGGTTTATATTATGGATGCATACAATAGATATATTTACCCAGGAGATGGTTTTGCTAAACGTGAGTATAATGGAAATTCATCTTCCCAAACGTACCAGACCTACTGTGTTGTTACATAACTCCTTTATTTACTACTAAGCTTCCTTGCAATACCATTACCTAGATTTCTTTTTTTAATTCTTTTTAATTTCACATCATTTTCACTGCTCACTGCAATATATCACACTAGTGTTCGTGCTGTAGTGTTTTACCTTACTTCAGGAATGACCTTCTGGAATGCAGGGTGTGGAGAGGTGTCAGTGGATGTTAGTAGTCCATTCCAAAGCTTGGAGCAGTGAGCTGAATAATCTTTTGATTTGAAGAGAGTTATTAGAACTTCATCTTTCCCTTACATTACATTTATGAGAGAACTCACTGAGGATTAGTTGATACTGAATAAAAGTAAAGGTTTCATGTTCTCTTGAGAGTAAAGTTGTAAAATATTCAGGTGTTCCTTGCCAGTAGAACTTGTTTGATAAGCTTGAAGGAAACAATCTGCATCTGAATGTGACACAAGGTGGGAAGCAAAGCAAATCAGTCCCCCTGAGGTTGAGTCCCACCATTCCTCCAGCACTGGCCAGTGTCCCCAAATGCCACATGCACACTGTTAAATCCCTGCAGGGATGGGGACTTCCCCCTTCTCTGTCATCCCCACATTAAGATCTTGATTTGGTTTGGTTGCAGTCTGTGATCTGTTGTGATGTGTCTGTTGTGTCTTGTGACCTGCCACAATTGATAAGGGGGGCTTTTATAATGGTTAAATTGGAATGCCAAAGCCCCAAGTTTATTTGGGCTTTGATTCTGTTGCACTGTCATTTATTACGGGCTAAATTTGTTCACTGAGTCAGGGGTTGCTGTGGGAGTTGTTCTGCTGTTGGATTCCTTCAGTGACACTGTCATTCTGAGAAACCTACTTAACTGGGATTTTTGACGAGTTAGGTACATTGCATTGCACTGCTGTCTTTTGACTAGTGAAGATACTAAGAATTGTAGAATTTCAAGGTTTTAATGGTCTAAAAAAATGACCATTTAAAGCACACATCTGGAGGCAGACAAATTGCAAGCAGATGTGGGGAGTTTTCCCCGAAGAACAGCATCCTTTTATTCATATATCACATGGCAGCATTTGAACAGATGGATTAAGACCAAAACAGTCAGTCCTTGTTAGCGAACCACTGAGCTGCAGTACCACACTGAATGCCAGCATTCTCTTTCTGCAGATGAAGAATGAGGTGCACAGGGCTTGGCCAGAGCCATGTGAATATGTAGTCCTTCCAGTTCACATAAGAATGTCTAAATAGGATTTTTCTGGCTAAGTCCCTTACACCCTTTCCAATAGGTGATCAGGCAGAGATGGGATCACAGGGGGGAACCTCTTTGAAGAGGGGCAGAAGCTTGAAAATGAGATTTTGAATCCTTAGGGTGAACTCCAACTGATCACTGTCTCCTTGGACTTCCTGCCCCATTTTTTCCATGTTTTATTGCAGGAACCTCTTCCACACATTTTTTCCCCATGCACCTCATTAGGGAAGGGTAAAAAAGGAGCAGCTCACCTTGCCAATGCTAAGCCATAAGCATACTGAGTCCCTGGGCAAAGCAGTGTGGAATTACACAGGCTTAGGAGGAGAAAGGAGGGATGAGGAATAGGACTAGTTCACTGAAGGGTAAGCAGAAAGGGCTAAGACTCTGAGAAACCATAAAGCTAACATTGAAGCTAATGTTGATGCAATATAAAATAACAGGATAAAAAAAAAAAGCTTCACTGATCCTGAACAAAGATGGGAAGCAGAACAGAAGACAGCAATCACAAGAGTAATTAAGTGTCATTCTGTGTTGGGTGCATTCTTGCACACTTGATGGGGCCTGAATCCATATTTGAGATGTGAGACTTCACATCATTTAGTGTGAGGTAGAAGTCATACCTTGGAATAGCTCTGGCATGGCTTTGATTAATTCAGAAGTAGAGTCACACATCTCTCCATAAAAGCACCCAAAAGTCAGCTGCATAACCTTGGGTTTCTTTCTTTTACCTTCTCAGCCTTCATTTTCTACTTCTATTGCTTTATTAGAAGCATTAGAAATAATTTGATTTAAATTAAGAATTGATATTTGCTTTTCTGGTAGGATTACAGGGTAAGAACATTAAATTGAAAATGCTTGGGGCAGAGCTGAATCTTGTTATACATTCATAAAGCAGTTCACATAAATTCATGATCCCTTGCTGTGAACTTTTGAGCGTTGTGATAAAAATAAAACATCTTCATAATTTCTCAGTGATATTTATTTTGTTTTTCCCCCAGCTATTTCCTCTGCAATAGGAGTTCAGTGTTTTCTTTGCCTTACACTTTATTTAGGTTACTTTTAAATTGATGATTTTCTTTATGATTTCTCTGCTGATTGGTAACTGGACTTGCAGATCAGCTGTTTTTCAATAACACTTTTCATTTGCATCTCAGATTCTTTTTTTTGCCTTGCATCTAATTTTCTGTCTTCGGTGGAATTTTTTCAAGGTCATTGTGCTTTACAATTGCTGAGAAAACAAGAAGTTTAATAATTTTCTTTAATTCATGTTTCTGGGAAAATGCAATGTAACGAGAGAGCTTCCAGAAATGTAATTATTTTCGCTTGCTTACCTAAATTGTGCATTTTCTTTCAATGCAGTGCTTTGTTTATTGAGCAGAGCTTGCTTTGTTGTCCCTCAGGTGCCATAAAACGCAAAGTGGAACTGGAGTGGGGCACAGAGGACACCGAGTACCTGCAGAAGGTGCACACCCATGTGGAAGGAGCCCTGAATGAATTCAAGCCTGACATCGTTGTTTACAATGCTGGCACTGACATTCTGGATGGGGATCCCCTGGGAGGCCTGGCCATTTCCCCCCAGGTGTGTGTCCCTGGAGCAGCACAGCCTCCCCAGGCTGCAGGGAACAATACTGCCCTGTCACAGACACACAGATCCATTTCCCTTGCCTTTTCACCCTTCTCTTCTTGTCTCTCCCTGAATATTTTTGTTCTGGTGCCTGTTCCACTATCATTCATCTTCTCTCTAAAATGCACTGATTACCAGCACCCAAACCAGAGAGATATGGGTATTTTCACACTTCACCTGACTTCTATTTTCCCTGCCTGGTTTGTTCTTTTTTGGTTCTTTTTTCCCCTCACATGACCCATTTTGCAATGTATGTCTTTTGTCACCTGCCTCCAGTGTGTATCTTACACTTAATTTCCTTTGTAGCATTCCCAGCTGTTTTAAACTACCCTTATGGTTATAACAATTTTATTGCAGCCTGGCTGGGCATTTTTAGAAAATGAACAGTTATTTTCTTTCTCCTGATCCTTTTCTTTAGATAACATTTACTTTTTCTTCCCAGCTTGGTACCAGACTCAAATTTTGGTTTATTCTGTAAAGCTTCTTCTAGAAGTCTTTATTGTTCTACTTTTCTTAAAATAAACAAAAATTTACAGTCCTCTTTTTCCTTCCTGGGTAGTGATTTCTTCTCTGACAGTTCCTCTGTGCTATCTCTTCTTGTTCACATTTAGGTCTCTTTAATGGTCACGAGATCAATACAGAAGAGTGCTTGTTTGATCTGTGAGTTCTTAGATTCTCCTTTGAGCCACCACTTGATCTGTTCAGTTTTCTTGCATGAAGGAACAGCTGAGGGGTTGGGACATTGGAGAGGAGATGGCCCGAGGTGTGAGGTGGGGTTTGGTGAAGCAGAGCCATCTGGAGAGCAGTGACCACCAAGGGAAGTGGCAGCTTGGTCATAGGGGGATAACTTGGAGATTTGCCTTTAAAAAAATTTCCAAATTTCTGCACTTTGAGCAGGAGCAGTGTTAATTGCCAAGAAAAATGAGTTGAAGTAGCTTGCTGGGTTCTGTGCAGACAGAGAGTGTAAGGATGGGGAAAGAAAGGTGAAGCAGCTTCCTTGGCCACAAGGAGAGGTGAAAGGCATTCTCTGCACAGCTGGAGGGAGCTCAGGCCTTTAGTGTCTGCTCTGAGGGCAAGGTGTGAAGGCCTGAAATCCCAGTGTTGGAAAGTCATTGTGCCTGCACAGTCCCTCTCTTCAAAGGTCCTTAGTCCAGGCTTCAGTCCTACTCCTGAAGATGTCATTTGTATTTTAAGCTCCTGCTGCAGTATTAGCTGTGCTCTGAATGAGGCTCCTCAGAGTGCTCTGAGTGATGGTTTCCTGGTTCTTGAGGCTGTAGTGTCTGTGGTCCATCAGCTGAGTCTCTCTTCCCTTTGTTTGGAAGTGGGAGCTGTGCCAGGCTGTTGTTTTGCACAGAAATGTGGGAATGGACCCATGTTTTCCCCGCAGTTCCTCCAGGCTTCCCCTGGAGCTGCTGAAGCACTGAGGCTCCTGAGAGCAGGGGGTGCTTCCAGTTCTGGTGTGGGATAATATACCCACTGCTGGTAATTCTGTTGCTTCCTTTAAGGATCTGTTTCCAATAGAATTCTTCAGTTTCCTTTGTCTTACTGTTTATTATTCCTCGTCCTTTCACAGGGCTGTGTCAGACTGCGCAGGGAACAATACTCTTGGATGGTTTTACAAGATACTTTTTTTCTGCTATATTAGTGTTATTCTTTCCCCTTACCATCTGTTTGTGGTCTAATTAATGTCAGGGTGTTATTTCTTGATGTATTTCCACTCTTCCTGTAGCCAGCATGTTCATTTTGAAACACTTCTGCTGCTGTTTCTTGAATTTTTTGTATTTGTATTTAATTGCATTGTCTTGCCTTTTTCTTTCTCTAGCTTTGCAGTTATTTAAGTTTTGAGCTGTCCATTGTAAGCCGTTGTCAGTTGTGTTGCAAGTTTTTGGGTTTTGGGGAATTTTTTGAGGAGTTGTAATGAGTTGCATGTATCTGTAACTCTGCTTTTACAAAAGTAGATTTTAATTCTGTTCTCACTCATTCCTGAAGTATTTTTCACCCTCATGCTTATTTGAAACCTAGAAGACTCACACTCTGCTCTTGCCTGGGTTCAGTGACAGTACAGCACCTCTTGGCCAGCAGTCTTTGTTATTTTTCAGTTCCATACCCTTCTCCTAATAAGAAATTACTTAGAATTTATTTCCTTTTTATGGATTAACCATTTCTTACATTCTGCAACTTCCCCTTCACCCACAGATTCTTCTAGCATTAACCACAGGCTCTTATTGCAGAAACTGGGACTTAAGATTCAGCCAGTGATTGTGAATGTACAAAATTTGATTCGAATTTTGGATTCTTCTGTAGGGTTGTGAAATTTTGGTCAAGTTACTAAACTTTTAATAGAGGGTGCTGTGCAAGCTGAGTATAAACTAAAGCACTGTGAATGCAGAGAGTCTTTCCAGTCTCAATTCCTCACCTGGAAAATAGGGTGAACACCTCTAAAATTTGCAATCAGTTTAGACTTTATGGCCTTTGAGCCAGAATTCTTTTAAAATTTTAAAAAAGGTCTTTTTTTAAACACTTTCATCTGCTGTGTCCTCTAAAACAAGCCAAGGAGATTTGATATGCTGGGGGTTTTGGGGGATGGTCTTTTTTATTTTCGGGTTTTTTTTGTTGTTGTTGTTTTGGTTTTGTTTGGGGTTTTTTTTAATTATTTTTTTAATGATTTTTTTTTAATGATTATGCATGCAAACCGATGAATTTTTAATTGCTACTGTAAACTGTAAAGCTTAAACACTTAGCAAGCATCCAATACTCTAAATCCATAAACCACAGGCTAGAACTGAAGCATCACATTGCTATCACTTATTTTTTCCTGTGGTGATCTTGCAGGGCATTGTGAAGAGGGATGAGGTGGTGTTCAGGGCTGCCAGGAGCCGTGGAATCCCTGTGCTGATGGTGACATCCGGGGGGTACCAGAAGAGGACAGCACGGATCATTGCTGACTCCATCCTCAACCTGCATAGCCTGGGGCTCCTGGGCAGGGAGCAGGCAGCCTGTGCACTTGGGAGTCCCAGCCTGGATCAGATGGTCAGAGACTCTGCTAAGGACTTCAGCAACTTGTCACTGCAGTGACAGGTCACCAAATGTTAGTCATGTAACTCAGAGGCAATACAGAATAACTCTAACTCCTGAATTTATCTCGAGCTAGGGCAACACATCCTTTTAAGGTAATTGAGATATGTACTCAAGGGTACTGTCTTTATGTTTAATACTGCTGTAGAAAGCTTAATTTGCTTCTGTGATTGGTATGGGGGTCTGTTATGTTGGAAGAACTATTCAGCTGGTATCCGAAGACTGTCCCAGACCTGTTTCAGATGGTGGAGAATGGTCTGAGGTGGGAGGACTATGGACTAAAGCTACTGTTTTGTGAGGTTTTTTTAAATGCTGTGTTTTATTTATTGCTTTTTAAATTGAGATACTGTTATACAACAAGTTCTGTGCAGACTTCAGCTGTCAGTTTAACACTAAAGGGAAGTGCAATACTGTAAAAGCCAGGGCAGTTGTTTATGGCTTTGAAACCATAGACAGGTAGAAGAAATGTTTGTAAATTCGTAGTTCATTCCTGTTGTTGATAGTGACTTAAATCTTTCTCATAAACACCTTACGAAATAGGTTTGGCTCCATATGCAAATGAGCCGTAAGAGGCTCACCATTTACTAGTATGGTGTTCCAAACAAGCTCTGCATGTGACGGGCAATAGGTTCTGTGCACTGTAATAACTCACAGATGGAGAAACTACAGTCCAATGAAAGCTGATCTTAGAGTTCTCAGCAACCTTACAAAAAAAACTACGTGGAAATATAGGTTGTCTTATTATTTCCAGCTTGCCATGTATGAAACGGGAGTATATTTAAATGGTTGTTCCCCAACTAGTGCTGTGTTTTTTATTTGCTCAGAGAGTAATGGTATTTCTAATTGTAGTCATAGTTGGTAAGCAGATCCTTCATTATTCTTGTTCATCAAGAAATGCAGTGACATTCCTACAATAAAATAATTTGCTAACTTTATACAGAGCTTTTAGGAGGATTTGGGAACAAAATAGTGTATTCAAAGCAACTTGCTTCAAATTCAGTTGCACTACCTGGGAACTTCGGCTTTGCACAAGTTGGTATATTTTGCATTAGGTGCTGTTTGTAGCAGTGGGTTGTAAATGTGCTAAACTGTATATTTTGCAAGAGCTTTTATAACTTTCACTGATTTGTACTACAAGTTTTACATCATGTTTAGTTTGGAGCCATCCTGTGAGGGCGCACCAGGATTTTCCTTGTAGTAGAGTTGTTGTGTAAGCTATTTAAGGAATGTTCAATTCTAATTATAATACTTACCTCATTTAGTGTTCATGTTTAGATCGTGGGTTTGTCAATTGTAGGAATTGCGCAACTGCTATAAATACATGTTTTAAACCAGATCTGACCTATTGCACTAAGCTTGAGTTGCTACACTGGGGTTCGAGAGCACTTTTAAATTTCTTACTAAAAGGACCATCAGAGTACGACTAATGTTGAGATTTATTTTTTCTATACTGTCTGACATTACTGAAAGATGTTGTTATTCTTTCATATAATTTTTATAAAACTCTAGATTACATTTCTATTAATTAAACGGCCGTCATAGCACCACATGGTCTTTCTGCAAACATTTGCTGTTTGTGTTAACCTATTTCTATAATTTTCCCTCAGTGGAGATTAAAATGATGTTGAACAATGCTGACTGACTTCTTGTCACTTCATATGGATCTTGGCTGTCAAAAAGTTTGACTGGGAACAATTTCCTGAACAGACAAGAAGATGTATTTTTCATGCTTAAAATGTGTCTGAAACTACAGTGAGTCTCAAGGGTGAGTAGTACAAGGTTTGTGACCAGCTTCTTTGAGTTCAGTGGTGACTCCTTGAAGAGAGCTTGCAAATTTTGTGTCCAAATGCTTTTTAAGATGTTGTTGTAAGGGGTCAAAGTCACTTTCTACTTCCGAGTTCTACTTCATTACCTACCTTGTAAGTTATAATCTAAGTATTTTAGTATTACAGGTGTTAAACTGGTAACTGAGCTTCTGATAAGGCCACAGTTGTTTTAGAGGCCTTTTATAAATCAGTGTCTTTTCTGAGAGCTGAATGTTTGCAGCAGAGCCTGCTGGCTCTCATACTCACCTGTGAAATTTCTGATCAGCAGCAGACACATTGACTGCATTTCAGTGTTTATTGTAAAGTTAAAAATGGGAAACACATCACACCTTCATATTTTCAAAAATTTGCTGCCTTAGTACAGAGAAGAAGAACACTGTGTGTGGAATTTTGTCTCTAGTAGTTCATGTATCTTACCAGATATATATGGTATTCTGTGATTTAATTGGGTTTCTCTGCTGCAATAATCTTTGCTAGATGAATAAACCAGTGTACAATGCTTTCAAAAGACACAATTATTAATCATGAGCTGTTTATAAATGGACTGTAAATATGGCTGGTCATGTAGACTATCATAAGTATTATGCAGGAGAGAGAGACATGGCAGGGGCTGAGGAGTTGAAGTCTGACAGCTGGAGAGGGTTTGAACTACCAATAAATAACTCACAGAAGGGGAGGGAGGCTGAAAATCCTAGAAAATAATATTTTTTTTTACCAGACGTTTCCAGAGGAAAACTGGCTTGACCTATATAAAAAAGATACACATTCTGCCAGTTTTAGTATGAAAAGCCATTTCATCTGTTTACATATGCTTTGAGTATTTTCTCATGAAGTGCAGAGCTGTGCTGCAGATGACCAAGATGCACAATCTCTCAGTGTTTCTTTGCAAACACAGAGACAGTGAGACTCTGGGTTTGACAGTGTGGGAGATAACGAGGAAACTACCATTGCTGTTGGTATCTGTATGTGTACATCTCTTTATTCTGCACTGTATGGTGATGGTTTAACAGGTTTCTCCTGTCAGCAAGGATTGGATTAACTCCTTCTCTTTGCTGAGAGAGGCTGGTGAGGAAATTTCTTAAGCTTTTTGCCACAAAATAACCTGGACCTAGCATTCCCATGCCAGTATACAGATGGAAGTCTATGTAAGTACAGCACTGAATTTAGAGAAAAATACAGACTTGCTCCTTCTTCAGATTTCATGAGCTTGCCTTGCTTTTTGCCATTTCAAAGCAAACTATAGTCTTCATTGTCCTGAAGATGAAATCTGAAAGAGAATGTGTTTGATAGGAATAAGGCTCCTAATGAAGCATGTGATGGTTGAGTTGTCAGCTTTTCCATCTGTTACCTAATAGAATTCTGCAGCACTGGGATTTAAGATTTGTCAAGTTTTGCTATCTTTCATTCTAAACCTGGGCATGTCTACCAAGGCCAACAATGAAATGAGCACATTAAGATAATAAATCTCCAGTAAGCAGCCAGAGTTATTTATATTGGATGAACAAGGCTGCAAGTAGAACTGGGGTGTCTTTTGGGTTGCTGGAGGTGGGAGTGCTTTAAGAGTTGAATACTTTCATATTCAGCTTTAGTTGTGGGAACATTTGAGCCTGAGACGTGAAAGAATGCAGACCTTTCAAAATGTGGTATGTGAGAAAAATGTATGATTTAGTGTTTCCATTTCCATAGGGGAAATAGCGATGCTCTGCTTGAACCAAATCATAAATTTTCTTTAAACTTAGTTGTATGCTGATCAGGGAAACAAATCCCCTCCCAACCCCATCAAAGCAGCCGAGGGCAAAGTTAGGTGTCTTAAAGCCACCTTCTACCTACAGGGCATGGTTCCATTAGTCATTGAGAGAAGGACTGCACTTTTCGTCTTTTTAAAAGCCTTTTTAACAAGCTTAGAATAAGAAATAGAAGTGTTTGTCAAATTCATAAAAAAAAAAATCAGAATCTGAATTGGGTTTGTGGTTGCTGCACTATCAGACCAATTGTAAGCATGAGTCAGTCTTGGACAAACCCACACCTTTTCCTTCAACAGAGAATTGAGGAGTGATACCATCAGTGTTTCTGCTTTTGAGCTGTTTGACACTGTTTGAAATTGCAGAATCACAGAATAGTTTGGATTGGAAGGACCTCAAAGCTCATCCAGTCCCACCCCTTGCCATGAGCAGGGACAACTTCCACTCTCCCAGGGTGCTCTAAGCCCTGTCCAGCCTGGCCTTGAAGTGCATGAGGTTCAGCTGTAATACATCTTTCCAACCTCACCTTGTACAGAAATGTGTCATGGAGAGGCCATTCTGGTTCTTCTTTTATCATGAAATGCATCTTGAGCTCTCTGTGTAGCACTTAACATGGAAATAAACAGGAGGAGCCTTTGATGGGACAAGGAGACTAGTGCAGAATTATCCCTGGGTGCTATCAGGACTTGGAATAAATACAGGTAAAGCAATGATTATCAGTGCTGCCTTTGCATCTCTTAAGCCTGAGGCAAAAACAATCTTTGGGTGTTGCTTGGGGTGTTAAAATTATGAGGGGGATGCAAAGGGAATTTTTGGCCAGTGAGCTGCTCTGTGTTGGAACTTGTGGACCAGTTCTGGGCTCTGCTCAGGATCATCATCTGCAGCACTCCGAACAGCTGGAGCCCTCAGGGAAGAGTCCTGCTTACAGTGACTGCCAGGAGTCAGTAGGACTGGTTTCAGACAGGTTTTCTCCTAGTTTGTACAAGGAATGGTTCAGTCCAGTTTGGTTTTGAATTAGGGAGACTCAGTTACATTGTGTTGAAGCAGATGTTCAATTTCCAGTGACCCCCACTTAAAACCTGCTCCCACCAAAGTGTTCCTTGTTCCCCAGCTCCATGGGGTGATCTGTGTGGTGAGAGTCAGAAATGTCTTTCTGTGTTTTATGGTAGGAGCAGACAGAAGTTTCTAAGGATGATCCTGTCAGGAATGTGCAGCCCTGGATTTGCATCACCTAGTAACATAGTGCAGGTTTTTTGAACAGGTACAGTAATGTTGTAAGAGATGTGATATTAAAACAAAGTTGTTTAAAATTTTATTGCATGTAAAACAGATTAAGTGTTCTGCAGCGAACAACCCACAAGTGCTCAGTTTAACCAGTGCTGAGCTACTGTGTAAATCCTTCCACAGGCTCTTTCTTGGTCCATCTCATTATGCAGCATAATAGTGTGGCCAGACTTGTTTCCAGGAAATCTCTCTGGCCCTGTGGCAATCTCACCATCATCAGGCTCTCCCTGCAGGGAAGAGTGAAAAAACCTGGCAGTAGTTTACAAGCAGCTGATGGGAATCCCAGCTGCTTTGGTGGGGTTGCATAACCTTGGAGTGGGAAATGCAGTGGCCCAAGGACAAGGCAATGCCAGCAAGCCTCTCCATGGGAGTGCTGTCAAATGAAGTGTTGGCATTGTGTGCATGGTCCCTCCATTCTGTCCTTGCTGAGTTCCTTGCTTATGCAGAAGGGCCTAGTGGGTTTATACTGCAATTGGAGTAAATATCTCTTGAATGTGTGTTGAATTTGGGAGTCTTATGTGGCTCAATTTAAATGTGATTAGGTTTTCTGTCTCCACTGTAGAGACTGTGCGTGTTCTGGAGAACTGTTTAATGTTGAAGGCTGGCCTGCTGCTTTTGGCTGATATGCAATGCTCTGAGAAATTCCAGGACTCCCACTAGGTCAAAAAATTTTCTCTCAAGTCTAGCATTTCATCAAGTTTCCTAGTAACATGTCTCCATGTATCACAATCCTTATTGCTTGGAAAGTCACCAACTTTGCAGTGAGAGTTTTTGTTACATGTGCTGGATGACATTCTCTAGGTAGAGAGGTCAAATTGGATGGAAAAACAATTTCCATCATTTCTTATTTCAGACAGCATTTGTGTTACATGGTCTTGTTTGGCTGTGTGTTACATGCTTTGGGTGCGATTAATTTAGTTACACTGAGTATTTATGTAGTCTAATTCTATTAGTTATAGTTTTGTTTTTAATCAACTTAACCTGGGATAATATGTCTGGGATCCAGTCACTCAAATCTGGGCTGAAGCAGAAATGACCTGTACTTTCAGAAATGTACTTGACATAAATCAAAATGTTGTGGACAGGAGATCCTAAAATTCCTTGAACTAGTTATGTTGTGGTGACCATGCTGACTAGGACTTGATAATGCCTCACTTCAGTACAGCAAACCTTTTGGAGAACTGTGTTCAGCTAGTCTTACAATGGATGTTGCTTTCCTGGGGAAAATACAGAAAGGTTCACTTTAGCCAAGATAAGACCTGTAGTGCCCCTGTGCTCTGCTCTGAAACTAGCTGTCAGCATCACCCAGAGCTTTCTTAGCTTTGGCATTTTTGATTAAGTTGTTCAGAGATGGTCCAGTAAATTGTTTAATGATTCATTTTCAGGTGAAAGAACAGTGATTTGCATGTGGAACCAAAAACCTCTTCCTTTGTTTACCCGCCCAAAGACATTGATAATACAGTAGTTTTATAGTAAAAAAGGGCACTAAATGTTCCATGGAGTCTCAGTGTACTCAGTATTTATGACTCTATGATGTGCTGGATCCCCTGGACCCCACTTACTCTAAATGTGCTCAATTTGAGCTGATTTCAGCAGTCTTCATCATGAGTGGCTTGATGCTCTTTTATTTCAAGAGAATCTTGGGAAGCAGAGTTAGAACATTCCATATTCTGGATCTCGCAGCAGCTTCTCAATGTGGTGAAGACTTGTCTATATCCTGTTCCTGCAGAAGTGCTATGCTGACACTGGGAAGTGTCTCTGTGTCCTCATGGCTTCTTAAGGAAAGAAGAGATCCTAACCTTGTAAGTGGGGCATTAGAACATGTTGGGTGAGACCCAAGTTTCTGAAAATATTTGGGCGCCCTGGGCTCACTTTAGTGCATGTTAAGCACCTCAGTGGCTTTATGGAGCACACCTGCTCTGAGTGGGCAAGAGCTGTGGAGGATGTGCTTGGGGGTCGCCTCACTCCATGCTCAGAGCTGGAACCACTGGAGGACACTGCCCTGTTACTGCTAGGGAAATGAATTGCCACAAGTGTAAAATACAAATGATGGGGGTTGCCTTAACTTCATCTTGGATAAGATGGATTTTTGTATTTTGCACTGTCACAGTGCTGCCATATGCTCAGGTCCTGGTTTGAGCTGAATTGGTGCCCAAAGGCAGCTGTGCTGCCCTGCTCCAGGTGACAGGGAACACCTGAGCTCCTTGCTCAGTGGCTCGAGGGCAGCAAAGCAACTTTGAAAGACACTGGAGAATTCAGAGCTGAGCTTTGGGCTGGTGGAGGGTCTGGATTGGAAACCACAGGAGAAGCAGCTGAGGGCACTTGGTTTGCTCAGCTGGAGAAGACTAAGGTCAGAGCTCCCTGGGGGCTGCAGCTCCTCCCGAGGGGCAGCTCTGATCTCTGGTCCCTGGCACAGGGATGGCACCCAGGGAACAGCTGGAGCTGGCCAGGGGAGGTCAGGTTCTAGAGGATTTAAACTCTGATGATTAAATTCCAAGTTAAGATGGCTAAATGCATTGGGATCCTTTAGCAAAATCACAGTGGTATTGTTTAGATGCTGAAAAGATAAATCAAAAACCACTCATTTAGTGATATTTCAGGTGTCTGACTTTTAATATCTTTTGACATATACTTTTAAAGTGATTTTTCCAGTGATTTATAAATTTCTCTTTCACTTTAAGTAAAGCAGAACTAGGTATTTGATGTATAGAATCCTCATAATTGTTATTGGAATTTTTCTTTGGATGAGGATTTTGGCATGGATGATACTTTACAAAACAGTCCCAGTTCTGGATCTCATTCATCACAGATCTTGAAAATAAATATTCTTTGGCTTTCAGATAGGGCCATAGAATTTTTCAAAGGATGAATTAGAGCTATAAAGTGTATATACATTTAAATATAAGTTCTTTTAAATATGCAGAGCTTCCATAAAGATCAGATTTGTGCACATTGCATTAATTTTAAATGAAAATTTAAAATCTATTACAGGCAATGCATTTTAGAGTAACAGAAATTCCAGACTGGTTTTGGTTGGAAGGGACCTTACTGGATTTCATCCAGTACCACCCCTGCCAGGGGTAGGGACACCTTCCACTGTCCCAGGCTGCTCCAAGCTCCAAGCCCTGTCCAGCCTGGCCTGGGACACTTCCAGGGATCCAGGGGCAGCCACAGCTGCTCTGGACAACCTGTGCCAAGGCCTCACCTTTATATTATGGTAGTTTTAAATGTGCCAGAATTTGCCAAATAAACTGATTTCCTTGAATTAATTCTGCTCAGATCAGGCATGAATGGAAACCAAAGTTACTTTGGTATACATTTTTTTTTTTTTTTTTTTGTAGCTGGCAGATGTGTGTCCTTGCAGAGTTTGCAGCAGGGTGCTCACCACCTACACTGCCACCTTGCCTTCCACCTGGGGCTGGGGCTGGCCCTGAGTTGGGTTTTGGGCAAAGGGGAAGCACAAGGACAAGGGTGTGATCTGATCTCGATGCCTCCAGTCCTGAGAAGGTGTTTATGAGCTGTGCTCTGTTCTGCTGCACCTCACAGCTACTCCTGGTAAGCTGAGTGAAGCTCAGACACACATCTTGTCATGTTCAGGGCTTGTCACTGGACTGGAGGGTGGTCACTGCAGCCAGAGTTTGCTTTAGACACGGCGCTGGGATTATAAAGTGCAGTATTGGGTTGTATTAAAGTAACTGAGCTACTAATTTTGCTAATATTAGCAAAGCCTGGCAGTTCTGACATGGAGCCTTTATATTTACACCATCTTTTGCCTTGGGCCTGACCTAAATGCCAGGCATTTAAGGACAAGAAATGAATTAAGTCTTGTCTCTGTTCAGACCAAATTCCTGGTCTGTGCTGAGAGCACCATTAGCTGTGGTGTTGTCTTTGCCTGACACTGTCATAAATTGCATTTATTAATGGCAGATTATATAAACTTTAGCCAAGTCTCTATCAGTACTTAGGCCAGATAGCAGATAAAAGGTCACAAGTCTGTGCTCTAATGAAATTGCACATGAACCTTGAACTCAATGTGGTTTAAACACTAAGAAATTAGCTGATTCCTCAGTGGTGTAAAATGGGCACTCATTGAAGCCCAAGCAAGGCTGCTGTGGGACATCTGCTGAGAATCCCACCCTTGGCTCTCCATGGGACTGTCCTGGCTCCTGCCCCAGCTCCCAATGTCCCTGCAGGATGAGGATGAGCAGAGCTGGGACTGCCCAGAGCAGCGCATGTTCCCCACACTTGGCTGTGCCTCACACTTTATTCCTTGGGATGAGTTTCTCTTTGCATCTGGCCCTTTGCTGCCAGTTGCACTCCAGGACATTGCCTGCTGCTGGGAAGAGATTCCCTGCTCAGGACATGCCGGAATTCCCAGGGACTGTGCTCCTAAATTAAAGCAGTGACAACACATGTATGTCATGTTTGCTAGTGGGGCTGGAACAGCTGACTTTGCCACCAAAGTCAGGGAGAGCAATGCAGTTTTCCTAAGGTTTTTTTATCAAGTCTTTGAAATCTTTTTTGACATCTGCTCTTTATTACACAACAATATATCTCCTTTCAGGAAAAAAGACACTAATCATTACTCATTTCTAAGTTACCAGATACATTCCAAGTGCCTACAATAACTGTGAGGGCTTTGCTATCAGGTGATCTGGCAGTATACCTCTGTCCAACTTGAACACCATTTCCTTTTCCATGTCTGCATTTACCTTGGTCACAACTGGAACCAGATTTTTGTCAGAGGGTCAGGCTTTTCCCATCCCAGGGATCACACTGAATTTTCTTCTTTTACATCCAAGTCAAAAGCTCTGTGAACTTTGTGGGATTTTAAATCAAAAGTAATATGTAAGGATTTTAAGGCAGAGGGATGGAGCATTGAAAAGTTGATTTCTCTTTCCCCTTTCACGTCAAATTGCATTCTCCCTCTATTTTTTTGTTTTTGGAACAGCAGTGCAGGGCTGGGGCTGCTCTCTGGGAGCAGGATGCTGTGAAGGGGCAATAGCTGTAAGGGCAGTAGGCACCTGTCCTGCCCTGAGTCTCCAGAATTACTGCAACCCCATCAGTATGTCCACACCAGGGAAAACTAACCAGGCACCTATTTTTGATTTTTGCTGTGCTTAACTCCAAAGTTGCGTCTGCATTAAAATGATTTTAAAGACTGTAACACATCTGCAGTTTGAAGGGATAGTAAAGCCAGTGTTACACTCTGAGAAATAAATCCACAGTCTGAGTTGTTGATGTCATTTACTAATTTTCAGCTCATTGTGATGATGATATCATAGAACATTTACTTTTTTTCCTCCCCAAAATAAAATGGTGCCATTCGGCTTCTGGAGAAAAGAACTGTCAAAGGTGCTGTTTGGCAGTCATGGAGGGAGAGGTGGGGGAAAGAAAGGCATGTCCTGGAGGGATGCTCTGGTGAGTTCTAGCATTTAAACAAGCTTCTTTTGGTACATAGATGGGGATATTTTCAAGAGTAAATGGCTCCATGAAATGGTTTTCCAGGCCTTATGCTGGCCAGAAAGCTGTTAAAGCCCATCACAGTTTAGCCTCCATAAGAAAGTGGCGACAGTGCCTGTGTCAGATGAAACATATAATTCAAAAAGTAATTCAAAAGTAAACCTGTATTTAGAGAAGCCAAAAGCCTGATGCAAACAAGGCCATAAAGCTTCTCTCCAGTCCTTCTGAGCGAGTGTGGCAGAGCTGTTGTGTTTACAGCAGTGCCATGGTACAGCAACAGCTGCAGGAGAGGGCTCAGGACAGCCTTGGAGTGGAGCAGGGCTGCAGGAAGCTGAGAGAAGCCCCTGCTCCAGAACTGAGGGACTTGTTCCAAAAGCAAAGACAGTGACTTTAAGAGCTTCCCACTGTGCTCCAGGTTTGCCTCAGAAGACTAAGAGGTGACCTCAGAAATCATGGAAAATATTTGGGAAAAAGTTTTATGCAACTTGGTTGTGAATAGGTCCAAATCTCCAGTGGGAAAAGAGCCTTCCCAATAAGCTGGGTGTCTTGGGCTTATTTCTTCATAGAATAAAGACTACTAATTAAGTGCAATTTCATTTATTCAAAAAGTGTAAAAATAGTCAAACTTTTCCAGAATCCTAAAACTACTTTGAAAAATACAGAACTATTGTGGAAAAAGAAAAGAAATATTTTGGGATTTCTTTCTATAAAAAAAATACCCCTAACACTTCAAAATGAAAAATAAACATAGTGGCTGCTGGTCTCAGGAGCCCTGTGACTGACTGCTGCCTGCCCAACCTGGCTGTGTCCAGACAAGGAGCTTTGTCAGTGCTGGTGGTACCAGCCAGACACCAGAGCTGAAGCCCAAAGGTGTTGTTTAAGCCCTTCCCTGGCAGGAGGGGCCCACCTTCAGGCCTGGCAAGACACGAGGGCCAGCACCTGCAAGGGCAGAGGGTCCTGTTCTGCATGGAGGTTGCACCTCCACAGCAATGAGCTGGTAATGAAGCGGGGGCAGGGACGTTCGATAGTGGCTTGGGGATGGCCGATAACCGATACAGCTCTTTCCAGCTGAAGTCTTTGGCAGGATTTGTGAAGCTGCAGAGACACACCTGTTGAGAGAAGAGATGTCTGAGGCCCCCAGTTGCCGCTGGCACACAGGGACCCTCCTGCACTGCAGGAGCCAGAGCTGCCAAGGCTCCCCAGCACGGCTGGAGCTGCTGGCACAGCTTGGCCCAGCTGGAGAGCTGCCCTCAAGGCCCCAGTGAGCAGGGGATGGCTCTGGGTACGGTCCCTGGCAGGAGCAGGCCCCAGAGCATGTCTGCCTTTCAAGGCCAATCTCTTCCCCTCTCTTTTTCCTCCCTACCTTGCTTTGTCTCTGCCTGCTACTCCTGGGGCTGCTCTTGACCAGGCAGCCTCAGTGGCAGCCAGCATGGGCTGCAGCCCGAGCGGGCTCCCCAGGACAAGGCCCCGCAGTGAAGAGGCCAAAGAAAGCCCTGGGCAGCAGCAGAAATCTCAGCAGATTTAGAGTTTTTTGGGCAGCCACTGACTAGCCACAAGTCCACAGCAGCCTCATTGAGAATGTTTCCTGTCTACAATAGACTTTCTAAAGAAGGTGTTTGAGGGAAAGATGAACAAAACACTCACTGTTTTCTCTGACAGGTATACCAGATTCCAAAACAGCACAAAATGAAGACAAGCTCCAAACAAAGCAGGCCTGCCATTATCACTAGCCAGCAGCGTGTTCCCTGACAGAAACTCATTCTGATGCCCTTCTGGGAATCAGGAACACGTGTTGTGGTGACTGCATCTGTGGGAGCAATGGTCAGTGAGAGCTCATGCTGTGCTCCACTGCTGAGCTGGCAGTATGCTGGGTATGCCTGGACCTTCTCTGTTTGCCCCAGAGCTGGGGCCTGCAGGCACCTTGCTGCCCCTTGGCACAGGCTGTGCCACCCAACAGAGCCCAGAAGGCTGGGAGCAGAGCCCAGGGACAGCGCAGCTGCTTGGGCAGTGGCTCCTTCCAGGGACACGAGTCAAACCCATCCCTGAGCAGCTACTGCCACCACTGACCCTCCCTGCTCTGTGACAGCTCCCCCAGCCCAAGGGGACAGAGCCAGGCCCTGTCAGGAGCCAGTGCCAGCCCTGCCCAGTTGGGAGCCAGGGCTGGCTGTGGCCCTGGGCTCACGGAAGGGCTCCCACTTGGAGCTGCTCCTGTGCCTTGGGCCTCTGGATGCTCAGGGTCAGCTCTAGGAGCAGCTGCAGTGGGATGGACATTGGTGCATGAGTCCTGTTTCCCAGGGGCTGGGAATGAGCTCCAGAGGCCTGGGAGCTGAGGTGCCTCAAGCTTTGGCGGCTGCCGGGCCGTGCAAGGGCTGGCCCTGGGGGGAGAGCTGCTGCCACACAGCCCCGCCGAGGCTTTTATACAGCAATTACCTCCTGTGTCTGGGCCTCTGCCTGCAATTGCCTCTCTTCCTGAATCTGGAATTGCCAGGGAGCCAGTGCTTCCTCTGGGAAGTGTCTCCTTGTGCACAACCTTTTGCTTCATCCCTTGAGAAAAGGAAGAGGCACAGGTAGATCAGAAGAAAGAATTCCACAGTCAGTACGGTGGCATTTCCAGAAGGCTGACGTTGTCAAAGTCATGGAAAAAGTTCAGGAGAACACCTCTGATTTTGGGGTAGGACCAGGGCCCTCCTTCCTCCAAAGAGCCACAAAGTCATGAGCCTCAGGGCGAGGGCACACATGTACATGGCTCTGTCCTGGCACCTGCAGCGATGCTGCCCTGACCGAGCTTTGGGCTCTGAGCTGGCCGCTCTCCCAGGGGGAAAGGCCTTGACCTACCCTCACCATCTCCCAGAGTCTCTTTCCAGAACGTGGGTTGAGAAGCTGCATCACCTTCACCAAGAGCTGCAAAGAAAGGTAGGACAGAAGAGCTCCTGTGGCTCTGTAGGAGATCCTCAGGCTCCCTGGGGCCAGCAAAGGAGCCGTGCAAGGCACAGCCCCGGGGCACAGCCCAGGGCCCGGCCCCTTCCCTCTCTGCTCTTCTCTGTGACTGCACAGAGCACATGGAAGGTGACTCTGGTATTACACAGTGGAAGAAGATTGACAGCTAAATGCTCCTTCCTCCCGCTGACAGTAATGCTGTCAGGGATTCCTCAGGGCTTTGGAAGGGAGCAGGGCAAGGTTCCCAAAAACCATCAACCCTCATTATGTTAAGGAAATGGCACGTGAGTGAGCTCTTGCCTGCAATTGCCTCTCTTCCTGAATCAGGAGTTGCCAGTGAGACACTGCTTCCTCCAGGAGGTGCCTCCTTGTGCACAGCCTTTTGCTTCATGCCTTGAGAAAAGGAAGAGACACAGGTAGATTAGATGGAAGAATACCACATTCAGCATGGTGGCATTTCCAGAAGGCTGAGCTTGTCAAAGTCATGGATAAAGTTCAGGATCTTGAAACTGATTATTTTGTCCGGAAGGGGACATTAAGGGCTTGCCTCCAGCATTCTCTAAGGATTCCAAACCATCATGTGCCAAGGCTGCCAGATAAGCCATGTCCTGATCCCACTCTAGAACAGAGCACAAATCAGAACCATGGCCATGGTGTGCTGGGATCCCCTTCTGCTTTCGGGATCTGGGCACCGCAAGGGGGTCAGGTAAGGCTGTGGGAGCCAGATGTCAATGGACACGACTAAAGCTGCAGAGGGGCCTAAGGAACTCTGGGCTGGCTCTGGTCACTCTCCACCCTCTTTGCAGGCCCTGTGCAACATCTCTGGAGGTTTGGCTGGACCAGCCCATGGCCCCTGAGAGTTCTCTCATTCCCACAGAGGAAGCCCTCCCTAAAGCCCTGGGGAAAATTGCAGCATGCAGTGCCACAACTATCCCTCCTTACCTCTCTCCGTTGGGACAGCTCAGACAGCCCAAGGAACAGTCAACCCCTCTCAGACAGGGCAGATCCTGTGGGAAGAGCTCCTGGCACACAGCCCCACCAAGGGCTGACCCCAGAACAGCAATTACCTCCTGTGCCTGGGCCCGTGCCTGCAATTGCCTCCCTTGCTTCAGGAAATGCCACCTTCCATAGAGCCTCTCTGTCCACCCCTTGAGAAAGGAAAAGGTACAGCTGGATCAGATGGAACCATTGGATAGCAGGGAAGAGGCCTCTTCAGGAGGCAGTGCTTGTCAAAGACATGGAAAAGGATCAGGAAAAGGCCCAGGCTTTCTCTATTATCCAAACCACAACCCTCCCTGATCTGCTCAGAGACTGGGACATTGCAGGGGATCTCAAGCTGTGCATGGCCCATGGTGCAGTTTTGGGCACCCCGCCCACTGATGCCAAATGCCTTCCTGCAGAGACTGGGGAGAAGCTGCAGCCAGGCCAGGCTGGGAACCAGCCCTGCAGGCTGTGAAAGCAGCAGCAGGGCAGCCAGGCTGCCATGGATCCCTTCCTGTTGTGTTGGGCACGGCGTGTCCAGAGGTGCAGAGAAAGCCCCTGGCTGCTGAGTCGCAAGAGAAGGCTGAGGGAAATGCACCCACCATGGCCTTTGTGCAGTTCCTTCATGATTTGTTTCAGGGTGTCATGTGACTCAAGTGATCCCTTCTTTCCTGGGGCTTTGCTCTTCCGTCTCAGAGGACCTTAACAGAAGATAGTTCCATTTCCCAGGAATGGATCCCACAAAACCAGGGGTCAGCCTGTGGGTTTGGCAGGGACACACCACTCACCCCTGCGATGGGAGCTGGGCTTGTGGGCAGTAAACAAGCCAGGAGCTGGGAAAGTCCTCCCTGCAGACACACCTGTAACTCAACAGCCACAGAAGCTTCTGTCATCT